TGTTGTGTCCTTCTCTGCTCTCTCTAAAGGAAACATGCAATAACAATGAAATAAAATCAGGACTTCCTACTTTGTTTTACTCACCATTTGTCATTTCTCTCCAGAAAGAAATTGTCCCTCTAAGTATAATTAAAGTTTTGAAAATTTACAACTTCCTAGAGAGTGTTGCAAATAGACTATTTAGTTCACTTTTTTAAATGAGTGGTATTTTAGTCATACTTAAAGTGTGGTCTTAATAATTAATAATCCTGGATGTTTTCATGGCATTAATTCAGAATATGATGAATTGGGTAAGTTAGGCAATATATATGAGCTAAAACCACTTTGGATTTTGACAAGGAATTCAAACTTTTCAACTGTGACCTGTAACTGCGCAGGCAGCTTATAAAAAGAATAATCACCTCAACTTTTTCAACTTCCTGAAATCACTCAAAATAGAGTAGCAGTTCAGGATTGTTTCCCTTGGAAGTAATACGTTCTAAAATACAGTGTGCTACAGCATATTTTAATTATTGGCTTCAATTCTCAATGTTCTAGATTTTCTTAACCATCCTTTGTGTATTTGTTTGCAAGATCTGCATAAACTTAAAGTTGTTCAGCCTTTTATCAAGAAATTACCTACTTTATCTAATTTGGACTATGATTTCATCAAACACCCAGCACCCTCAAATTCAATTCAAGTCTGCAATAGGGTTCAAATGACATGTTTTTAACAATTTTGGAGACCAGAAGTGCATTTGTCATTAGAAGGAAGTGACACGTAAAAATGGGGAAAAATTAAATGTAACATCTTTTGTTTTCCAAGTCTGTTCCTTTCAATGAGATCTATTTCTTGCACACAGTTTGAAAACAAAAGATAAACATTCCCTGCGAAGCACCGGAAGGAGAGGCAATTAATGTAAATTTGATAAAACATAATGTAGTGGACTGACAGGAAAAAGGCTATGCTTGTTTGATTGTTGACTAGTTTTATCTTTAAATAATGGTCTTCTTTTGGCATTTAGTGTATATTTGTTCACAATAAACATAATTTATGAATATTTTAACACATGTGTACTCAGTGGGGTGGATTATCATACTGATATAAATAGAATTAATGAGCAGTCAACCTGCCACATGTCATGACATATGACAGGGCAGCCAGAGCACAGAAATAATTCTCGTAGTTTCATAATAAGGCTTTTTTCTTAGTTCAACTTTATAAAACTACTAATAGTCTTTATTTCCCCTTTATTTTGGAGTATGGTTCACCAACTAAGGAACAAGATTAGGGTTTTACTGCAAGAGTCTACTTCTGGGCATTCAAAAAACTATTTTCCTATGTTCTTACAACAAAGTAAACATTTGAACAAACTAACCCCAGGCAGCCAAATTTCAGAGAGTAGGTCATAGATAGACAATTGCTTCACCTATTTGAAAGAGGAAAAAATCGACTAGGAAAAATCTTTTCTTCTTTTCACACTCTGTGGCAATAGTATGATTGTGCCTGAATTGCTGCTGCCAGAACAAATGCTTTCTAAATGTTTCTAAATTCTAAAACAAATCTGAAGGGCATATTGCCTGGATAAAATTATCCTGAAGAAAACATCTTCTTAGCCAGTTATTTGCTCTCCTTGCACACAAAGGAACAATCTGTTAAGCGTGCCTAATAAGATTTATTTTTAAGGAACAAACTCAGCGTAGAAAGCCACCTCTTCAAATAGTAGATACGGGGTTGAACAGATCATGCAAAATCTTCAGTTTAACCATATTTCATTTGACGAAGAATTATTTTCATGAGGAGGCAAATTGAAATTTAAGATGAACCTTTATTTTCTTTTATTATTTTTACAGTTTGATTATTGGTAAAAAGGGGTAAAATTAAACTAGTACATCGATTACATTATCTGGATGATTTGGCAAAAGGAAAGCCTTGGCAAAGATACTATATACCATGACTTTTTTACAGACACAGATGGCAGGGTTGCAGCCTTTATTCCTCTTATCTTTCATTTCAAAGGGAATATTTAAAGCTTTTTCCACTACCAACCTTCCACTCCTACCTTCGCATTTAAAAACACTGTCTTCCCAAACTAAATCTCTGTCCTAAAACAGGCAAGCCCCAGGATGCTTTAGGGAAATAACAGAATGTGACACCATGTTTCTGGTCATCTGTTAGAGGAGGAGACCACACTGTGTGGGGCTGGGGGCTGATGAACTTCCCTGGAGTGACTCCCTTGGGGAAAAGCTAGCTCTTTCACCGGCAAAGAAAATGGGCACCACCTAGTGCTTTTTTGACGCAAAGGCTGTTTGTGTGGTGTGACACGAATAGGCATGCGTTGGGTGGCTGACCTTTACAAAAGAGAAAAGACAGGAATCAGTTGGCTTCAACCTCTATGCCCAAAAAAAGAAAAGAAGCAAGTGATAGTCTTAAAACAAATGAACTCAGTGCTTCCAATTAGGAGTTTCCTGGGGGTTGTTTTCTTTTTTCCTTTTTTTTTTTAATTTTATTTGTCGGTCTGTTCATGAGAAATAACATTTTTTCTTACTAAGATGCTAATTTCTTTTTTGCTAAAATCATTTCTTGCCTCTTCATTGTTTCTGCAGTTAACTTGTAAGAATGTCTAGGAATTTTCATTTCATCAAAGTGACAAAGCAGAGCAAGCTGTCCCACCCTAAATCTATTCTAACAAGGAGCCTGTCTGGAATTCTCCTATCACAACAAATAGCTTATAAGAAAAATGGTTTGTAGCACAAAATCTTTTGCAATGCAATAAGATCAAGTTAACCCTCATGCCTCTAGGAAAAAGCCTAGGAAGTTTTATCTGATTGGCAAAATGGACCCAGATATGAGTTTAAGGATTGAGTACACTTTGATGAAATTTCACAGCAATGAAGTCTGATTATCTGAAAGACTGCTTGAGCCCTTTAAAAAATAACTCAGGGAAGCACTAGATTTTTTTGTTGGGAAAATAGATGGTCCTGTAGGGAACAGTAGAACAGCTATTTCATAGTGTTTGCTTTTTTTTGTAACACTGCTTACTTAGAATTACTTAGAATTTGCTTAGAATTACTCTTACAACTGTTGATTTAAAAAAATAATTTCTTAAGTATTGTGAATGCTGATTTCATTAATGGGGTGAAAGCTGAGGAAGTTACAGCTGAAATTTTGGCTAAAGATGACAGCACCAGGTTTCGAGTTGCACAAAGAAGTCTGAGGGATTAAACCAACAAAACCTGCTCAAAAGTATTGTGTTTCCAAAAGTGTGATCTTCCTATCTGTGATTCACACTCCTAGGATAGGGACAATCCCTCATTTACTTTGACTTTGCCATATTAATCTTACTTTACAAATACACACGGTGATTTATATCATGTTTAATTAACTGATTGAGGGCTCCAGTGGTAAAAATGGCATCGCATTAAGCTCTGTCTGTATGGCAAATTCGAATCACATCTTTAGCCTTGCAAGAACAAAATATCCCGAGAGTCACTGATGACAGGATGTAGGAATTGAAATCAGGTCCCTCCTGTTGTTTGAGAATCCAGGGAGGGTGCCTGCCATATGCCCATCACTTCCAGGGGGGGAAATGACAGAATAAAAGGAAGGAAGGCTATAGTTCTTCCAATATGTTCAAATCTCAAATGAAAATGATTGTGTAGCAGTGCTGTACAGAGGCCAAGATTCACATGAAAGTAAATCTCAAACTTTGCAGGGAGCTTCATAAGAGGTTTGGGTGGTGTTCTGATATGTGTTTTATATTTTGTTTTGTTCTTCTGAAATGGTTGTTCAGGGTTTTTGAGAACTGATAGCTGAAAAGACAGTGGTTTGAAGCTGAATATAATAAGCAGGGAAATATTTTAAAATGAGGGGATTCTAATACAATATATGTGCATGGTAATTCAGTAAAAAACAAATTCGGTTTGACTGTAAAAAACCACACATTGGAATACCAGTTTCCAAGTTCACTTTTGGGAGTGAGAGTTGTCTAATTTTTCTCCTCAAACATCTGTCGTGATTATTTATGATACTAAAGAAAAAAATGTAAATTCACTACTAACTTCTTCTAAATAAATAATTTCTTTGAAATTTTAAAATGTATTTTATTTTATCTTAGACAGCATAATGTAAGTTTGAAAACAGGACAAAAAGTCAGTTTCACTCCTTAACATGATGATTTGCATTTTTGTGTATCTTCTTTTAGTGTTTATTTGCATGTCCTAAAATTATTATAATCATTGTATACCCTACTTTTGTATTCTGACTTTAACTCACTTATTATTTTATTACAGAATTCCCCTGCTATGTGCCCATAATTTTTATTGACTGCATAATATTTCATCAAGTGTTATCATTTTTCTAACCATGCTTCCATTTTTAGATATTAAAATACCTACCAATATTTGTTATTATAAATACCATGAAGGCAACTTTTTTTACTTATGGCTTCTTCCACATTTTGAATTATTTCTTTAAGATAGATTTCCATATCTATAAATTTCTTTAAAGGGATTATAAATAAAGAAATTCTTCTTCCAAGGAAAGTGGAAAGCGAAACATTCTGTGAAGTATCACTGTATAGAAAATCTTACCTCTTTGTAGAATGCACAAAAAGTAATATTTAAATTTTGAAAAGCCATACTCATAGAAACAAAGAGTACAAAAATGGATGGAGGGTGGAGGGGGGAATAGGGAGAGGTTGGTAAAAGGGTGCTAACTTTCACCTCTAAATGGACAAGGTCTGAAGATCTAATGTAAAACATGATGACTATAGATGACACTGTGTTATACTGAAAATTTGCTAAGAGAGAACTTAAATGTTCTCAAACACATACAAAAAAAGATAAATATGTGAGGCAATGTATGTGTTGGTTAACTAGGTGGGGGGAAATCCTTTCACAATGCATACATATATCATCAAATCACCATTATGTACACTTTATCTTACAATTTTATTTGTCAATTATACTTCAATAAAGCTGAAATTAACAACAACAAAAAGAAATGAAAATCTTACCTGAAGTTAACATGCAGTTCAAGGGAGATGATTCACTTCTGCAGCCAAGTGTTGGCAACATGAGAAAAGTATTTCATTTTCACTGTTGTGTCCTTCTCTGCTCTCTCTAAAGGAAACATGCAATAACAATGAAATAAAATCAGGACTTCCTACTTTGTTTTACTCACCATTTGTCATTTCTCTCCAGAAAGAAATTGTCCCTCTAAGTATAATTAAAGTTTTGAAAATTTACAACTTCCTAGAGAGTGTTGCAAATAGACTATTTAGTTCACTTTTTTAAATGAGTGGTATTTTAGTCATACTTAAAGTGTGGTCTTAATAATTAATAATCCTGGATGTTTTCATGGCATTAATTCAGAATATGATGAATTGGGTAAGTTAGGCAATATATATGAGCTAAAACCACTTTGGATTTTGACAAGGAATTCAAACTTTTCAACTGTGACCTGTAACTGCGCAGGCAGCTTATAAAAAGAATAATCACCTCAACTTTTTCAACTTCCTGAAATCACTCAAAATAGAGTAGCAGTTCAGGATTGTTTCCCTTGGAAGTAATACGTTCTAAAATACAGTGTGCTACAGCATATTTTAATTATTGGCTTCAATTCTCAATGTTCTAGATTTTCTTAACCATCCTTTGTGTATTTGTTTGCAAGATCTGCATAAACTTAAAGTTGTTCAGCCTTTTATCAAGAAATTACCTACTTTATCTAATTTGGACTATGATTTCATCAAACACCCAGCACCCTCAAATTCAATTCAAGTCTGCAATAGGGTTCAAATGACATGTTTTTAACAATTTTGGAGACCAGAAGTGCATTTGTCATTAGAAGGAAGTGACACGTAAAAATGGGGAAAAATTAGATGTAACATCTTTTGTTTTCCAAGTCTGTTCCTTTCAATGAGATCTATTTCTTGCACACAGTTTGAAAACAAAAGATAAACATTCCCTGCGAAGCACCGGAAGGAGAGGCAATTAATGTAAATTTGATAAAACATAATGTAGTGGACTGACAGGAAAAAGGCTATGCTTGTTTGATTGTTGACTAGTTTTATCTTTAAATAATGGTCTTCTTTTGGCATTTAGTGTATATTTGTTCACAATAAACATAATTTATGAATATTTTAACACATGTGTACTCAGTGGGGTGGATTATCATACTGATATAAATAGAATTAATGAGCAGTCAACCTGCCACATGTCATGACATATGACAGGGCAGCCAGAGCACAGAAATAATTCTCGTAGTTTCATAATAAGGCTTTTTTCTTAGTTCAACTTTATAAAACTACTAATAGTCTTTATTTCCCCTTTATTTTGGAGTATGGTTCACCAACTAAGGAACAAGATTAGGGTTTTACTGCAAGAGTCTACTTCTGGGCATTCAAAAAACTATTTTCCTATGTTCTTACAACAAAGTAAACATTTGAACAAACTAACCCCAGGCAGCCAAATTTCAGAGAGTAGGTCATAGATAGACAATTGCTTCACCTATTTGAAAGAGGAAAAAATCGACTAGGAAAAATCTTTTCTTCTTTTCACACTCTGTGGCAATAGTATGATTGTGCCTGAATTGCTGCTGCCAGAACAAATGCTTTCTAAATGTTTCTAAATTCTAAAACAAATCTGAAGGGCATATTGCCTGGATAAAATTATCCTGAAGAAAACATCTTCTTAGCCAGTTATTTGCTCTCCTTGCACACAAAGGAACAATCTGTTAAGCGTGCCTAATAAGATTTATTTTTAAGGAACAAACTCAGCGTAGAAAGCCACCTCTTCAAATAGTAGATACGGGGTTGAACAGATCATGCAAAATCTTCAGTTTAACCATATTTCATTTGACGAAGAATTATTTTCATGAGGAGGCAAATTGAAATTTAAGATGAACCTTTATTTTCTTTTATTATTTTTACAGTTTGATTATTGGTAAAAAGGGGTAAAATTAAACTAGTACATCGATTACATTATCTGGATGATTTGGCAAAAGGAAAGCCTTGGCAAAGATACTATATACCATGACTTTTTTACAGACACAGATGGCAGGGTTGCAGCCTTTATTCCTCTTATCTTTCATTTCAAAGGGAATATTTAAAGCTTTTTCCACTACCAACCTTCCACTCCTACCTTCGCATTTAAAAACACTGTCTTCCCAAACTAAATCTCTGTCCTAAAACAGGCAAGCCCCAGGATGCTTTAGGGAAATAACAGAATGTGACACCATGTTTCTGGTCATCTGTTAGAGGAGGAGACCACACTGTGTGGGGCTGGGGGCTGATGAACTTCCCTGGAGTGACTCCCTTGGGGAAAAGCTAGCTCTTTCACCGGCAAAGAAAATGGGCACCACCTAGTGCTTTTTTGACGCAAAGGCTGTTTGTGTGGTGTGACACGAATAGGCATGCGTTGGGTGGCTGACCTTTACAAAAGAGAAAAGACAGGAATCAGTTGGCTTCAACCTCTATGCCCAAAAAAAGAAAAGAAGCAAGTGATAGTCTTAAAACAAATGAACTCAGTGCTTCCAATTAGGAGTTTCCTGGGGGTTGTTTTCTTTTTTCCTTTTTTTTTTTAATTTTATTTGTCGGTCTGTTCATGAGAAATAACATTTTTTCTTACTAAGATGCTAATTTCTTTTTTGCTAAAATCATTTCTTGCCTCTTCATTGTTTCTGCAGTTAACTTGTAAGAATGTCTAGGAATTTTCATTTCATCAAAGTGACAAAGCAGAGCAAGCTGTCCCACCCTAAATCTATTCTAACAAGGAGCCTGTCTGGAATTCTCCTATCACAACAAATAGCTTATAAGAAAAATGGTTTGTAGCACAAAATCTTTTGCAATGCAATAAGATCAAGTTAACCCTCATGCCTCTAGGAAAAAGCCTAGGAAGTTTTATCTGATTGGCAAAATGGACCCAGATATGAGTTTAAGGATTGAGTACACTTTGATGAAATTTCACAGCAATGAAGTCTGATTATCTGAAAGACTGCTTGAGCCCTTTAAAAAATAACTCAGGGAAGCACTAGATTTTTTTGTTGGAAAAATAGATGGTCCTGTAGGGAACAGTAGAACAGCTATTTCATAGTGTTTGCTTTTTTTTGTAACACTGCTTACTTAGAATTACTTAGAATTTGCTTAGAATTACTCTTACAACTGTTGATTTAAAAAAATAATAATAATGATTTCTCTATTGCTAAAAGGTAGATGGTTCAACAGTAAAATTAGAAGCCTTAGTAGAGGCAGAGTGGAAGATAGAAAGGGGAAGAATGAGTAACCTGCTACCTATAACTGGATTAGCAAGCGCCTGCTACACATCCAGGAACTAACTAGCCGACTTTAAACTCATTAGGGATCTGCTTATCCGATATGCTGCACAACAGAATCCAGATAGAACACAGACTTCTAAGAAACAGATAAAAATGATTATAACTACTACAGTTAGGAGCTCAGTGTCTGTGCTAAGCAATCCGGGTATATGGGATGAAGAAAGCAAAACCCCAAATTCTGAACATTGACTCTTTGCCTACAGCAATATTCTCCCATTATAACATGGTGATGATAATACTTAAACACAGCACTTGGCAGTGAACTAAGAAGTTTGAAGCAGTCTCACATCTTTAGCCACTTTATAGCTATAATTTAAGTTATTAGATAAATGATTTATTTAAATCAATTTTAAAATTTATAAAAAGTCTTAAAGTGAATTTCTTCAACAAGCAGCAAGAAGAAATGAAATGAAATGAAATGACCTCTTTGGGATTTCAGTGAATCAAAATAAACATCTCTAAGTTTATAAACTAAATAGGGACCTTGTCCTGACAGGTTTAGGATGCACATAAATTGATTAGCTGAAGCTTCCAGGTGTGGCTAAGCCTGTATTTTTCCAAATATGTACCTACAGGATAACAGAAGAGGTGTCTATCTTAATCACCTTTAAAAAAAGGAAGCAGTATTACACTTTGTGTTCATACTGAATTCCTCTACTATTAACATCACCAACATTCTGGTCTGCCTCTTAAGCAACTAAAAATCTTGCTTTTTATTTCCCTCCCTCCCCAGCTGCCCCCCTCCCCTTTTCCCTCCTGCCTGTTTTCTCTGAATGCTGTAGTTCACAGTGAAACCCTCTGCTAATGACAGCTCTGAAGTGATAATGTACTTTCCTGCCTTCCCCTTAACAGTAGCACTCATCCTGCCATGGGTGCCGGCTCAGTGGCAGAAGGATGCTCTCAGATTTTTCTAGAGGTAAAAGGGCCTCCTTCAATTTACTGTCTTGACTAACTCAGCAGTTTCTCTAGGTTATGGCAAAAAAATACAAGTTTTATGGAAGAAATGAAAGAGGAGAGGGAGGGAAAAGGAAGAGGAAAAGGAAGTGGGGAGAGAAGAAAGGAAAGAGGAGAAGCAGCCTCTTTTTTTGTTTAATATTGTGTCAATGAAATGGAATACATTTTTTTTTCTTCTCCCTGGGATTCACAGGAGCATTCCGCACAGTAAATAAGGAGTTAAGGTGAGTAATACTGAATAAAAGCATGGGACTTCGAGGAAAACAAAGGATCTCTTCCTGTGGTGATGCGGACTCTCTGTGGACTGTGATGGTCACCGTGTGATAATGCACTTATCCCCTTGTCCTCCTCCTTCACCTCTGACAGGAGGAGTCTATGTGACTCAATGGCCTCAGTGCACATGGCCAGGTGGCATTTGAGATGCTCAATCAGCCGGCTGCTCAGTGGGCCAAGTGGCCCACTGCCTTCACAGCACCCATTTGTAATGGATGGTGCGTTGTTCTGCTGAGGTAACCAAACTGATGGCAATCAATGGTTCTAACCAAATACCTGTTGTTTGAAGAGTAAGGCCAGAGCAATTTCTTAGCTATGAAGAACAAGGGAGATACTATTTATTGTAGTTTAAATATAACTGATTTTCCTTGCTTCAGGACCCAGATCACTCAATATGCTCCTGGTGTTTCAATCTTACATGAATATATAATATCTAAAACCATTGTATCTGTTCATTTGAAGATATTTTGTTTGCTAATTTCAGTGCCTCTTTATTCTGTGGTTTCGTAAGTTCATGTCCACATGGGGAAGGGACAAAGGGAGCCTGTGGGCAGATGTAGGA